TATATATATATATATATATATATATATATATATATATATATATATATCAATTCTTAAATATATAAGTACAACCTGTCAATCTGTTATCTGTTTGGTGTTACTTGTATGTATATCATTTCAGGGATGACTTCCTGGTATTGGATACCAATTAAAGGGCTCCTATTGCATGATATTATTTGTTTGTTTCTCCATATAACATTTTCATTGTTTCTCTGGGAGGTTCACAGCATGTACCCTAATCACAATCCCTTCCCAGTCCTTCCATATGCTCTCCCCCTCTACAACTCCCCACCCAAATGAAGTAGAAAATAAAAGCAAAAATTAAAAAGAAGTTCAACTTTGTATTAACTATATACTCACTGATGCATGGTCAAATTCTCTTTAAAAAAATCTTTTTTTTTAAAGAAACTATCTCTTTTCATTTCACATACAAATCCCAGTTTCCACTCCCTCCTGTCCTCCTATTCATTCCACCTTCCCCTTCCCACACTCCCATCCACTACCCAGAATGGGTAAGGCACATTTACTTGGGGAAGACCCAATGCCGTCCCTACTATGTCTAGGCTGAGCAAGGTATTCATCCAAAAAGAATAGGTTCCCAAAAAAACAGTAAAAGCAGTAGAGATAAATCCTGGTGCCACTACCAGTGGCCCCACAGTCTGTCCTAGTCATACAACTGTCATCCACATTCAGAGGAACTAGTTTGCACCTATGATGGTAACTTCCCTGACCTACTGGGTGTTGGTGAGCTCCTTTCTCTTTCTCTCTTTCTCTTTCTCTCTCTCTCTCTCTCTCTCTCTCTCTCTCTCTCTCTCTCTCTCTCTGTGTGTGTGTGTGTGTGGTTGCATAGTAACAGAAAATCAGAGCAAAATTTTGTGATTGGAATTAGAATGGAATGCAAACTAAAGCAACGGATGTTAGCCATAGGCTCCTTTGGTGAGCAGAAGCATGACTTGGAGAGACTATTGTTGCATGACTGACCAGAGTAGAGGAGATTGGCACTGACCATACCAGCTTAACACAGGTAGAAAAAAAATGGCCTTTGAATTTAAAAAAAAGAAGATTCATTGAAATATTGGTAAAATGCTTTACAAAGCTATTGTGGCAGTATTGAAAATAGAAGATGCATCTCATGAATGGGTATCTATGGCTAAAGCAGTATTCCTGTACCTTGAAGACACATACATGATTAGATGAAAAGTTTAAAAATGAATTATTGTATTTTCAAGCAAAATTTGAAGAAAAGTATCCGGTGACTATGAATTACGAAATCATTCTTTGTCTCCCTAGATGACAAAAATTATAAGATATATTGCTTAAATTAAGAAAAGACTTTAAGTCAAAGAGCAAATTCAGGGTAGACGTATAATTTTCCTTAAATATCTAAGAAAAATTGTTCTTAATAAATCATGTTGATCTTTTGGGTTTTTTTGTTTTTTTTTCAAATTTATTTATTTATTTGTTTATAAAAATTTCCACTTCCTCCCCTCCTCCCCATACCCTCCCATTCCCCCTACTCCCTCTCCTCCTCCCCCTCCACTCCCTCTTTTCCTCCCTCTCCAGTCCTAAGAGCAGTCTGGGTTTCCTGCCCTGTGGGAAGTTCAAATTTC